CTACCTCTACCAGCTCTTCAGGGGGAATGCCGAGGTGTTCCCAGGCCAACCGAGAGATATAATCCCTCCAGCGTGTCCTGGGTCTGCCCCGGGGCCTCCTCCCTATAGGACATGCATGGAAAACTTCTCCGGGTAGCTACCCAGGAGGCATCCGCACCAGACGTCCAAACCACCACAACTGGCTCTTTTCGACGTGGAGAAGCAGCAGTTCTACTCTGAGACTCTCCCAGATATCCAAACTTCTTACCTTATTTCTAAGGCAGAGCCCAGACATCCTGCGGAGAAACCTCATTTTGGCCTCCGGTGTTCGCAATCTCATTCTTTCAGTCATTACCCATAGTTCATGACCATAGATGAGGGTAGGGACGAAGATGGACCAATAGATTGAGAGCTTCGCTTACCGGCTCAGTTCTTTCTTAGCCACTTCGAACTGGTTAAGCGCCTGCAAAACTGCAGACACTGCTCCAGTTCATCTGTTCAGCTCTCCATCTTGCCTACCCTCACTCGTAAACAAGATACTTGAACTCCTCCACTTGAGGCAGTACCTCCTCCCTGACCTGAAGAGGGCAATCCACCCATTCTGGCTGAGAACCATGGTCTCAGACTTGGAGGTGCTAATCCTCATCCCCGCCGCTTCACACTCGGCTGCGAACCGCCCCAGAGCACGCTGGAGATCCCCAGCAGATGAAGCCAACAGGACGACATCGTCCACAAAAAGCAGTGAGGCAATCCTGAGGCCACCAAACCGGACACCGTCAACACCCTGGCTGCGCCTAGAAATCCTGTCCATAAATATTATAAACAGGACCAGTGACAAAGGGCAGCCCTGGTGGAGCCCAACCTGCACAGGGAACACATCCGACTTATTACCGGCAATGTGGACCAAGCTTTTGCTCTGTTCATACAGGGATCGAATCGCCCACAATAGTGGACCCCGACAGGGCACCTCGGGGAACCTGGTCATAAGCATTTTCCAAGTCCACAAAACACATGTAGACTGGATAGGCAAACTCCTAGGCCCCCCTCCAGTACCCTCGCAAGGGTATAAAGCTGGTCCAGTGTTCCACAGCCAACCATAAACCACATTGTTCCTCCTGAATCCGAAATTTGATTATATCAATCTCACCCTCCTCTCCAGTACTGCAGAATAAACTTTCCCAGGAAGGCTGAGAAGTGTAATCCCCCAGCCACCAGGTGCTCGCCAACGGGCCCCTCCCCCCAGGCCTTGCTCCACCCTAGTCCGGGCAAGGGAAACGAGGCCTTGATAGAATTCTTTGTTATAGAGGTTTTTTTCTTTTTTGGATTGCTCTTTGTCTGGCCCCTCCCCTGGGACCTTTTTGCCTTGGGAGGCCCTACCAGGGGCTATTGCCCCCAACAACATAGCCCCCAGGGTCACTGAGGCATGCAAACCCCTCCACCACGATAAGGTGGCAATACAAGGCAGAGCCTTGTCGTGACACATAAATAGGTTTAGTTTCAGAATTATCATACTTTCCACTTACATGCCAATGTGCCAACCAATTAGGTGGTTGACTAAATTTATTTGTGTCTTAATGTCCATTTCTTAAAATGTTGAGATAAAATTTATGTATTTGTGTCTGAAGGTCCAAAACTGCCTTCGCAGGCTGAACATTCTTTAGATTCCATAAGCTCAATTTATTATTTTGTGGGCACATTAATTGTGAGCAAAAAAAATTGTGGCAAAAAAACTGGCCTACAGGCACAGGGAGGTTTACATAAAATCTGTATAATGTACCAGATCCCAAACTTGTCAAAACTAAATACTAGCAAACAAACAAAGTTGTTACAATAGCAAAAATCTTTATTAAATAGTGCAGTCTGAAAAATATGAGACACATTAGTGCAAAGCAGGACACAGCATTTTATTTTTCAATACAGGGTAATCATGTAATATACGAGATGGGTGCAAACTGTAATCTTCACATTGAATGAACAATTGAATAAATGTTACATTTAAAGAACGCTTTTCAATACACCCAAAGTGCTTTACAGAACCACTGGGGAGCCACATCAACCACTACCACTGTACAGCACCCACCTGGATCAAAAGATTCCCAGGGATCTTTTATGACCTCAGAGAGTCAGGACTTCGGTTTTATGTCTCATGCAAAGGACTGCACCATTTTTACAGCATAGTGTCATTGCACTGGGGCATTGGGATCCACGCAGAAGATAAGAAGGCCTCCCCTGTTGGCCACAACAACACCTATTCCAGCAGCGATCCAGCCTTCCTAGTTGGTCTCTCATCTAAGTACTGGTCAGTCACAAACCTGCTTGGCTTCAGATGGAGTAGCTGGTCTAAGCTACAGGTGTTATGGCTGCTGGTCCAACAGACTTAATTGCATTATGTTCTATTTGCACAATAAAGATGCTGAACAAAAAAAGAACGTTCTTAATTACAATATATACACAGGATTAGCTATAATCACCAAGAACTGTATTTACGTGTTTAATGTTTTTAATGTTTTTTTTTTAATGTTTAATATTTTTTTAATTCCTGGCTTTTTCACTTGGAGTATACCAATTCCTTGTCCACAAATTAACAAGGAATATTGGTGAATAAGTAAGTTCCTCATGTCTGATGGCTGAAATTATATTGTGACTAGCTAAGTGTGGTTAATTGCTTTTCAGACAAACACACAAACACCAATGATCCAAAACATGATTACCCCCAGGTAAAGCGAAAAAATGGTGTGTGTCAAGGTCTGTGATGTATTAGATAGTAATTTAACATTCAAAACCCGTAATTGGAATGCAGACGAAGTTAGCTGGCATAAAAATAGGAGTGAATTTGATAAGGGCCAAATTAGGGCTGCACAATATCACATTGCGATATAATCATGATTATATTTCACATGCACAATAATCACGAGGGCTTCAGATGATGGGCATAAAATTTTCCTGGATGTCAGCTTTTCGGTACTATACAGATGTAAATGAAGAGCTTTGGGTAAATAAATTCGGCATATGTTTATGTTTAAATTCAGTTAGCAGCCCATGCACTATATAATTGCAATGTGATATCATGCAGCCCAAGGCCAAGTCATTATGGTCAGATTTCTGGGTCACAGCATCTCCAAAATGGCTAAGCTTGTAGGGTGCATACTGTTGTCCATGGTGAGTACATACTGAGTGGTTGGGGGGGGGATAACATATCCTGCCTGTTGTTCTTTTTCTGACTTTATTTATTGCTGTGTTCTCTGCTTTTAGATACATATACTGTTCAGTCATTGATCAGCTATGACTGATAGAAACTTATCGACTAAATTGACTAATAAACCTCCGCTTCAAAGCATTATCTTGGCTAATATTCAATCCCTGGATAACATGTTGGATGAACTGAGAGTCTGGTTGACTTTTCAGATGAAAAGTTGGAGGAGTTGCAACTTAAAACAATGCCCAGCCTTTTGCAACGTATTGGCTATCCAACACAGAGATTGAAAACACTAGATATTGTATATACTTCTTCCAGGACAAATACAATGGCTTCTCTCCTCCTCCCTTCCACAAATCAGATCATGCCTCCATTCTGCTACTGCTAACCTACAAGAAGCAGCTTCAGCAGGAGAAACCCACACTGAGAACTGTGCAGCACTGAACTGGCCAATCGGACTCTGTGCTGTGCCATTGTTTCTCTATCACAGACTGGCAGGTTTTTCGTGATACTACAAGGGGCGACATGAACTTCTATGCATGTTACTGGCTACATCAAGAATTGCATTAATAATGTGTTCCCCAAAATCACTGCCTACATCTACCCTAACCAAAAACCATCGGTAAATAGAGAGGTACAGCCTAATGCCAGGACTGCTGAATTCAATCCTGGCAATTTGGACACAAAAAATCCAGATATGAACTCATAGTCATGGTCAGGGAAGTCATAGAAGTTCAACTACAGATCCAAAGTTTAGTCATATACCATATTACCACAGTAGTACTATACTGAATATGTAGAAGTTGCATCACAGATTACAAAGCAATATCAAACCCACAAGTCTCCTTTCCACCCAGACAAGCTAAATTCATTCTCTGCTCATTTTGAATCTCACATTACCCCTCAATCTCGCATTGACGATCACAGGAGTAATATGTCACAACACACAGTACACCAAGCACTGCTGTGTATGGAAAAGATATGGCAATCATTTTTGAGTTGTCATAATGAAAAGATCAAGTGTCTGAGGCTGCCCTTTTCTTAGATATTTCTGGTGTGGTTTCAGTTTTGGCGCGATTTGATTAATTGCAGATCTTCACTGTCAAAATGTGTTTGCAAAGGTTAAGAATCATCTGTTAAAAATCTTTTTGACTTCTAATGGGATTCAGTGTCTGAAACTGCCCTTTTTTGCAATCATTATGTGGCACTGCTACTTACTTACAGTTTGTCACCCATAAAATATGCCTGAAAAGTTTGGAAATGATTACAGTTACTGTATTCAAAAGACCAAGTGTTTTCTACAGCTGCTGTTTCCTTCCTTTGCTGCCACACAGCACTGGTGCTAAATTTTGGGGTAAATTTTGTCTGAAAATCAAACCAGGTGTAATTCCAATGGCAGCTGGTTAACAGAGGGTGCTAGGGAGCTGCCCTCCCTGGTTTGAGAGACTTTTGATTTTTCTTTTTAAAATATATATTTTTAAACAAACAATATTTACTTATTTTTGAATGGGTAAGTGCTGAAAATGCATAATTCTGGTGTCATTGGTTTCAAAATTTTCTCACTTGCAGGTTGCCAACGAAACAATGTGTCTCCAAGGCTTGAAAAACATCCATAAAATACTTTTTGAGCTGCACTGCTTCAATTTTAGTGTGATCTGTCTCAAAATTTAAGCAGTTCCAGTTAATCAGCAAGACATTTTTCCTGCAAGGTTTGAAAAAGGTCCACCAAAGACTTTCATATTCAGAGTGGCCTCTATAAGAATATAGCTACAGAATTAATGGCCAAGGAAAGGCAGGGGACGATCGGGGTGTTTGTTTTTTTTACCTTTGACGGTAGTTTTGAGGTAGACATGTTCACCGACTGGAATCTGCATGACTGTACCAGGTGGCATTTGGAAATGAAACACACTGGTGTCATGTGTGACGTGTGTTTTGGACACCAACACACACTTCCTGTAAAAGAGGGCTTCAAAAAGAAAAAGAAAAAAAGCTGAATATTTTTATTAGTGACACTTAAACTTACAGATACATCAACAAATATATTTCAAATTATTAAATATTAAATATATTAACAAGAAAATACCACAAGATGCAAATAAACAGCAGCATAAATACAGCACACTGTCACACTGAAATACAGGGTTTGGACAATCAAACTGAAAAACCTGATTTTAGATCACAATAATTTATTATGGTGTAGGGGCTCCTTTTGTGGTCAAAAAGTAGTATAAATTCATCTTGGGAATGACAGATACTAGTCCTGCACAATGGGCAGAGTGATTTTGAGCCATTCCTCTTACAGAAAAGGGGCCAGGTCACAGTGACTGTGAAGGCCATGGGAGATTTCACTTTCATGTTCATCAACCACTCTTACTCTGTGTATTGGTGCACAGAGGACACCAATACACAGAGTAAACGTGATGCCATGGATCATCCTGATCCATGGCCTCACCTTTATGGTATAATTTTTGAACTACACTGTGAACATGGTCCTCCAAAATGGTTCAGTAGTCCTTGACAGTGACGCGGCCATCTACAACAAGTAGTAGGCCTAGGAAATGCCATGATATTGCAGCCCAAATCATTACTGATCCACCTTCATGAAGCACTCAGGGTACAGGGAAATACAGTGAAGGTTGACTCATCAGAGAACAAAAAATGTTTCACATTATCCACAGAGAATGAACAATTTGTTCCAACAATTTTGTTGGAAATAGGACAGTTGAGGTGCGCATTCAATTCTGCAGTAAGTTTGGCAGCTGTGGTTTTATGAATACAATACACGTTAGTGACATCCCTTTCAGACAGCTTCCTCTTGTGTCCACAGTTACTCCTGTTGGATGGGGTTCATCCTTCATGGTAGTATGCCAACATTATCCTGGATACTGTGGCTGTCGATACACCACAAGGCTTGCTGACCTGGTTACAGATGCACCAGTGTGACTTGCACCAGGAATTTGTCCTTTTTAAATCTCTCATGTTTTGTGGATTATAATATTTAATGTACAGCTGTGCTACTGCTCGGCTAATTAAAGTTGTGAGATGGGGTGCACTGTGATATGCTGTTTGACTCACCGCAATCCTTCCTGTGAAGAAATGAATCATGGGACTCCAAGGGCTCGCCCAATTTGGCCCACTGACCACTGGAAACTTTGTGCATGCAGACTTGCACCCTTCCAACTGCACTAGCAGTATGAACTGAAAGCAAATGCACAAAAAGATTTGCATTGCAACTTTTCACATCTTTCATACTCCTCAACTGATCACTCACAGCTCTGAATCTGCTATAGATCAATACCATTCAGCAGCTGGAACAGAGTCACAGAAAAACGTCTAGACCTGCATAACATCCATTTCCCAAAGATTTCTGGACTGAGATTGTAAGTCAGTTTTGAAGAATCTAAAAATGTGGTAAGAGAACCCAGTGAAGCTTTATTTGGGTTGCCGTTTCATAACGACCTTTGCGACTGATTCCATTTAAAAAAAAAATTCCATTAAAAAATGCCAAAATTTAAAATACCACACTTTAATAACTTGTTTGGTAAATACCGTTGGTTCATAGACACATTATCATCAAAATAATGTAAATCGGGTCTAGATGATTTGTATATCCTCCTGAGACCCAAGGAAAAAAGTGTCCTTTAATTGTAGGTTATTTGTCTTTGGAGGAAATAAGACATCTTACAATTTAGATTTTTTCAAATTTATTCTTATTTTAATTTCACAGCATGTCCTCTTTAGTGCACAACAAGAATAAATACGTTTCCCTGCATTAGTGAAAAAATAAATGCAAAAATACAATGTCCACTACAATGGACATAAATGAATAGATCGGGTCTCAGGAGGATATCATTGCAGCCCCATCATGGGTTCCACACAACCATTTTGGCATTATCAGTGTGTGATTTCAGAAGTACAACAGGTTGTTTATGAAGACAAAACAATAATACTTCCATAGTAAGCTGATAAGTAACTAAAAGATACCAGGTGGATCGTTGAGACAATACCCAGTCAGAGCCATTCACCAATTCATGGCCACCCCATGGCCATACCAGTCTGTAAGACCTATTGATGGGACATCTGAAGCCAAGGCTTCGAAGTTTTGTCTATGAAGGGGTGTGTCGGTGCACGGTAGGCAACTCATTCTCAGAGGATCACGTGATCAGCAGCAAACTTCATCTCCCATAGGGTACATTTGCAGTTTCAAATCCTACATAAACAGTCTGGTACAGTGTAACGGGTCCCTTCACTAGGAAAAGTCTCCAGTGATTTGTCACCGTGCTATGAACAACTATATACCCAATGGACCACTAAACGTGCCAAAAGGATTATGGAGGATCCCACACATGATTTGTATCAGCTGTTTCCCTCAGGTAGGCGACTCACTAAGCACCAAAACACATTTCCACAGCTTCATCCCCAGTGCCATCAGACTCCTCAACAATCCTCCTACTTTTAATCAACAATGCTCCATTTGCGCCACTGCAATGTTCATATTCTCATCAGCATAGACCCCTGACATTATAATTATAATTGCACATTGCATGTATTATGTCAGGCACTGTATGTTTCTGATTTTTCCCCAACTTTGTCAACTTTACATTGCACTATTGGCATTGCACTATTGAAACTTGCATAAACATCTGTACAATACTTATCACCTACCTTGCCTCTACACCGCCGGTTGTATATCATGCGTATTATACTTATTCTCTGTCTACATCCTGCCTAATTGTTAATTGTGTATTGTCATGGTGTCTCCAACTGCAGCAAGCTGTACCAACACTAATTTACATTGGCTTTGGTCATGTGACAATAAAGATTCTGATTCTTTAAGATAAGACAAAAGTTTTTTAACCAAGGGTAGACATAGTACTCTACAGACCTGGATACTGGCTCAATTAATGGACCTATGCCTAAAAAAAACGTACGTGGATGGGGAGTTACTAATGATTTATGCAATTTTGGCAAAGCATAAAGAATTAGAATTGTTTGGGAAGTCGTTTTTAGGTAGGGCCTATTTAAATTGATAATCTTCAAAGTAACCATTACCACTTTTCAGGCAGCCATGAATTTCTTTTTTAAAACTGTCATTTGGATTAGAGCAATTCCAGTCCTGGAGAGCTACTATCCAGTAGGTTTTCTATTCTACCTGGCTTCTGATGAGTCACACCTGTTCGTGGTATTTAACTGAGAACAGGTGTGGCTCATCAGAAGCCAGGCAGTGTTAATTTTGACAGCATGTTTTGATTTTAGTTTAGTCTTAGTCTTTTGACAAAAATGCAGACAAGTTTTAGTCACATTTTAGTCATCTGATTTTTTTTTGTTTTAGTCTAGTTTTACTCAACAAAAATTACAGGATATTTAGTCAACTAAACCTGCTTTAGATTTAAATCTACAGTACATGCAGTCAAATGAAACTAATAGGTTTAGTCATAGTCTACATATGCATGCACACACACATGCACACAGATTAGTGTACCTCTATCCACTGTAGATTCCTAAAGGAAAAATCTGTAAAGCTGTCGTTATAGCATGCTATTTGGTTTCTAGACTTTGGTTTTGGAGATTTAACTGCAATTCTTAAACAGCTTTATATGAATTTATCATTAAAATATATAAATAAAACCAAAATTTGGGGTCTCAAACAAAATGCTTGCATATTAACACAACTTCATTCTTATTACAAAATTATATAGACAGACAGACAGACATTCTCCCCATAGACAGACACACTACTGATATTGAATGTGCGAAGATCACAGCATCATCAGCATAGCCAAGATCAGTAAATCTATCTTCACCAGTAGATGCCCCATACCTGCTGGACCCCATGATCCTGCCCAAAACCCAGTCCATGCAAGCACTGAACAGAGTAGAAACAAGAACACACCCCAGTTGAACCCCAGAATCAACTGGAAAGAACGTGGAGGTTCTTCCTCCACTCTGCACAGCACTCAGAGTACCAATATACTGGCCAGCCATGATGTCCAGCAACTTTAGGGGGATCCCGCAAAGTCTCAGGATGTCCCACAGGGCCAAACTGAAACCCAAGTGCCACCATGCAGCGGGTGACGCCTCAGCACCACACCAGCCCCAATCCCCAACAGGCCTGACCCTATTAGCTCTTCGACAGTTTCGACTCTTCCAGGGATGAAGCTCCCGAAGGCTTTCTCCCATCCCCTTCATGATGCGTGCAACCTTCCTGTGGGCAGCTGCAGCAGAGCTACTCCCACAGAGAGCAGAAGGTTGTCATGCCTGTTTGGGCCTACCTGCCGTGAAGTGTTTTATGATGGCTGGAGTGCCAATCCCACTACCAACCCCCAAATTTTTTTCCTGCAAGTTGGAGGACTGTGTGTAAGGCCACATGCAGTTCAACATCATATCCATAAATATAAGAGTTTTATTACCTTCTAAATAATTTGTAGGGTTTGCAAACTACCCTAATATTTTTGATATAACTAATTCTATATAGTTGGCAGCCCTGGATCATGTGGGATCAAAACCGGGGGCACGGAACCCTACAAACAGGACAGATAAAAAGCAGAATCGATGTTAATGCCAGCACTGGGGAGCCCTTTTATACAAGGATTAACGAGGGAGCAAAACGTGGGGCAGCTGGGGTGAATCACACAAGGGCAGAAACGAGAGGTAAGACAAACACGAAACAGAATGTTACCAGACGGAGCGGAGTGGAGCAGGATTATGCCTGACTGGGTGATTTCCTGATGGTGCCCAAACTAGTGCTATCCAATTACAAGCATGCATACAAGCCCAGGGGAGAAAAAATTCATATTGATTTAAACATTTTGATTTGACAGGAAGAAGACATGTAACATCATCTTAAAGTTTTAACTGTCCTCTTTAAGATACAACGGGAATTTACAGAGTGGCATGAGCAAAAATATAATGTCCTCTACAGGGAACAATGATGAATTACTGGACCTCAGGAGGTTATCCTATATCTTGTTTTGAAAATATATATCGGGGGGGGGGGGAGCATAAGCAGATAATCCATATCCATGCCGGTGGGAGAGAACAGCAGATCGGCTTGTTTTAGGACGAACAACTTTATTAAAACATAAAACTGCAATAAAGTAAAAGATGACGTCCATATTGGCTGGCACTTGGGGTACAATGGCTCATATGGGGGGGAGGCATGGCTTATGAATACCCCCCATAACGCCAACTCTGCATTAGTCATTTGGTGTGTGATTCAAAAAATCATTTGCTGATGATCTTAAATCATTAGAAAAGGCCTGTAAAAAATTGCCATCATTAACACTACAAAAAATTAAGGAACGCAAACCCATTATCTAAGTGGATTATAGCTAGCTGATAGGGCTGTCACTTTTTTCAAAAATCAAGTTCGAACGAATTTCAAATGTCTCACAATTCATTCAAATACAATCAAATACCTGTGTGGGAAAAAAGCAACACAAAATCATTCTTTTCAGTATTTTATTAACAGCCCGTACAACTGTATTGTGAGGATCTATTTTGTCATGCATCTTTATTCCAAATAAGGATGAAGATGACACTTACGAGAGTAAGTTAGAGAAGTTAGACAGCTATTTTGTGCCTAAAGTAAATGTGATCCACGAGCGAGCACGATTTCATCAACGTGCCCAGAAGCACGGGGAGTCTGCGGAAAAGTATATCCGTAGCCTTCACGAACTAGCCGACACATGTGAATTTAGAGCGGCGAAAGAAGAGAATATTCGTGACAGATTAGTTATCGGAATTTTAGAATTTTAGGCCTACTTGGACACAGAGAACTGCAGGGCCCAACCAGAAGAGGTAAGCAGAGCCTGTTATATCAAAATCTGCACATTGGATATGCCAAATTGAGCAGTTTGAAGTGTCCAGGGGCCCGTTGGTAAATTAAGATGGAGGAGAGGTTGCACGCACTGTGTTTATACAGTATATTGTGTTGTCTATGTATTGTGTATGCATTGTGTCCAGGTATCGTGCGCAGAGAAATAGAACCTTAAGGAGCAGAGGGTACGGGACCCACGCAGGGAAATAGAATTTTAAGGAGCAGAGGGTACGGGACCCCCACAGGGAAATAGAATTTTAGGGAGCAGAGGGTACGGGACCCCCGCAGGGAAATAGAATTTTAGGGAGCAGAGGGTACGGGACCCCCGCAGGGAAATAGAATTTTAGGGAGCAGAGGGTATGGGACCCACGCAGGGAAA